GCCACCTAGATATTGGTGGTGGGGGGTGGTGGTGATGATTTCTAGAGACCTTCACTTACTGGGTTAGTTCACACGTAAGAACAGCTGAACCACATTAATGTTGCCTTAAATTATCTTAGTAGGTAGAAAATATTTTTGCTACCACAAAGGAGTTCACCTACTTTCTTGTTTTTGACCACAAAGACAAATTTTATCCTTGAGCTGGGTTGGTATTAGAAATCAGGTAATACAAACAAAAACAGAATTATGGATAATACCATGGATTAATGATGTTTCAACTCTTAAAAGAGAGTGGAGTTGGCTTAGTTTAAGTTTATTGAAAAGTTTCTTTGGCTTTCTTTAGAGACAGGGTGTTTAGTGGATTTAACAGAAGTTTTTCATTACTTTAAAAAAATATTTTTAGTGTTCACCTAAGAAATTGATCAAAGATATTTTGGGGCGGTTTCTAAAATAACAGTGCCAAAGACAAAGGTTAATCTATCATTTTAAGTAGTTAATATATTAAATAACCCAATTAGACAAAAAAAGAATGTTTTTATCAAGAGTTTGCTGCATACACAGGGAATATTTTCATGTGTACTTTTGTTGGAATATTAAAAAGTGATTTGTGGACCTTGCTAACTAGGCTTCAGGTAAAATGAATGTGGCTATTTATCTTAGAGGTCACTGTAGGAGACACATACCTTTATTCAAGTAGTGAGCAGAAGAAAAATACAGTATAACTTTAACTTAAGATGCCTCTTTTCAATGATGTTGAATTAGGTTTGCTTAAAGTGGGAACACATTTGAATGAAGATGCACGTTTCTTGTTTTGCTGCGTTTTTGCAGGGCTCTGTGATGAGCCTGCCGATAGGCCCTTCTCTAGGCTAACGTTGATAGTCTGAGGATGTTTTGTGGAAATCATAAGGTGAGGTGAGAATTTTAGTGAAGTACGGATTCAGAAGATTTATTTGTAAATTTCTGTATTAGTTTGTTGCTTGGTTAATGAGTTTGTTATAGTAGATAGTATTTGTCCCATAGGCTGGATATTTTGGCGTACTGGGCAGGTTCATTAAGCAAAGATGATGGACATTTTTCACATGGATATTTGGATTATTCTGGAATTCTTTGTTCTTTAAATTTAATATTAAATCTAAATTTCTAGCCATGGTGTGCTATCCTTGTAGGAAGATAGAAACATTTAAAATATGCTGTACTGTCTGCAAGGACTTTAGTCAATAGTTCACTAAGTAATATTTGTTGAGCCCTTATTTCGTTCGGTAAACTGTGCCATGCATTAACAGAGTGGGAGATAATTGAGAAGCCTAAGACATGGTTTTTGTGTTCAAGGCTATTGTGTCTTTAGAAACTTGAATTAGTAGTTTTTGAATAAACGCATTAATAAATAATGCTTATTATTGGTAAGAAAGTAAGAAAACTAATTGGTTCATTTTTTGTTCTCTGCAGTATTCCCATAGGCCACAATAACCATGTAGACAGTAGGTCCTCTGTGCATACTTTAATGAATGACCAAACGACCAAATGACCATGTACTATACATGCAGTCAGAGCTATTGGAATCAAGTAGAAGCTCATCACTTTTAGCTGGTTAGTCAGGGAAGGCTTCATGGAGTAGGTTGGGTTTTAATTGATGAGAGAGAGGGCGTGCCATCTACAAATGAAATGGCGTGGAGGCTCCACATTGGAAGCTGACAGTGGAAGTATGGCAATGGTGGGTGATAAACAGAGGTACATTTTAGAAAGCCTTGGAAGACAAATTTAAATTTTCTTGTGGAGACAAAGGAGAATAAAAGGGGTATTTTAGAACTATTAATTTAGAAGGATTATTCCAGATGCGTTGAAGAAGGGAGAAATTGTGAAGGGCACATAGCTAAGACTTGATGATTAAGTGGATTGATGAGGGAAAGATAACAGTTGAAGGTGGTTACCATCTTATTTTGAGCATAGTTGAATTGGGATAATAGTAAAAGCGTAAACAGAAATAGGAAAGTCAAAAGGGAAAATTAACTTTTTTCTATCCTTTTTTTAATTTAATATTTATTGTATTTTTCCCATTATCATTTAGTACCATTATAACCCCTCTCCCAGTGATCACCACACTGTTGTCCATGTCCATGAGTCCTTTTTTCTTTCTGCTCAATCCCTCCACCCTCTACCCCCTCCCTCACCCCTCTGTTGTCATCCTGCTCTCTAGAATTCTGTCTCTAATTTGCTTATTAATTCAGTTTGTTCATTAGGTTCCACATATGAGTGAAATTATATATTTGTCTTTCTCTGACTGGCTTGTTTCACTTAGCATAATGTGCTCCAGGTCCAGCCATACTGTCGCAAAGGGAGACATTTACACAGTGGATAACTACTTGGCCATGAAAAATAAAATTAACTTTCTATGGGAAGAGTTTTGTGTTTTAAATCTTTTAATGTTTGAAGTAACAGGAACACTTCATTGTGGACCAAGAGAAATCACAGAAGCACTGATTATTTGACTGCAGAGTAGGATTAGAGCAAAATACAGCCCTGTTATCTTACCAGAGTTAATGTGATATACCACATTTATTGATTTGCATATGTTGAACCATCCTTGCATACCAGGGATAATTTTCACCTGATCTTGGTGTATGACCTTTTTAATGTGCTGTTGAATTTTGTTTACTAGTATTTTGTTGAGAATTTTTGCATCTAAATTCATGAGGACATTGGCTTAGAATTTTATTTTCTTGTAGTGTCTTTATTTGGCTTTGGTAGCAGGGTAATGTTGACCTCATAAAATGAGTTTGGGAGTGTTCTCTTCTCTTCAAACTCTTTTGGCAGAGTTTGAAAGGAATTGGCATTAATTCTTCTTTAAATGTTTGGTAAAATTCACCTATGAAGACATCTTGTCCTAGGCTTTTCTTTGTTGGGAGGTTTTTAATTACTGATAATAGTGAGTCTTGTTATTGGTATGTTTAGATGTTCTATTTCTACATGATTCAGACTTAGAAGATTGTATATTCTAGGAATTTATCTATTTTTTCTAGGTTGTCTAATTCATTGGCATATAATTGTTCAATGTAGTCTCTTATGATCTTTTGCATTTCTGTGGTATCAGTTACAATGTCTCCTCTTCCACTTACAGTTTTGTTATTTTAGTCCTTGATCTTTTTTGTTGGTAATTCTAGCTAAAGGTTTGTCTATTTTGTTTATCTTTTAAAAAAAGCCCAACTCTTAGTTTTATCGATTTTTAAATTGTTTTTTTATCTGTATTTCATTTATTTCTGCTCTGATCTTTGTTATTTTTGTTACCTTCTTCCTTCTGCTAACTTTGAGCTTAGTTCTTGTTTTTCTAGTTCATTGAGAGGTAAAGTTAGGCTGTTAACTTGAAATCTTTTTCTTTAATTTTTTAAAAAAATTAAGTATAGTTGACATGCAATCTTATATTAGTTTCAGGGGTACAACCTAGTAATTTGACATTTATATACTTTATGATGCAATCACCACAGTAAGTTTAGTAACTATCTGTAATGCAAAGTTATTACAATGTAGTTGACTCTATTCCTCTTTTTCTTAATGTAGGCATTGATTGCTCTAAATTTCCTTTTTAGCATTGCTTTTGCTGTATCCCATAAATTTTGGTATGTTGTGTTTCCATTTTTGTTTATTTCAAGATATTTTTTGATGTCCCTTTTCACTCATTAGTTGTTTAGGAGTGTGTTGTTTAATTTTTACGTATTTGTCAATTTTCCAGTTTTCATTTTATTGATGTCTGGTTTCATATCATTGTGGTCAGAAAAGATACTTGGTATGGATTTCAACCTTTCCAAATTTGCTGAGACTTGTTTTGTAACCGAAAACATGATCTGTCCTGAAGAATATTCCCTATGCACTTGAGAAGAATGTGTATTCTGGTGCTGTTGGATGGAATGTTCTGTATATGTGTGGTAGGTCTATGTGGTATGAAGTATAGTTCAAGTCCAGTGTTTCCTTACTGGTTTTCTGTCTGGATGATATATCCATTGTTGAAAGTGGAGTATTAAAGTCTTCTGCTATTATTGTATTGCTGTCTGTAACTCCTCTGAGGTCTGTTAGTATTTGCCTAAGATATTTAGGTGCTCAAATATCTTTGCCTCCAGTCATCTGCCTTTGTGAGTCCACTGCTCAGTGGAAGAAGTTGAGAGACTGAATGGACATGAGAGATGAGCTCCCTTGTGCTTTTCCTCAGTGAAGGGAGACAAGGAAGAGAGTGAGTGGGAAATGTGTTGCATGAGAATAGATGAGAACAAGCCCATTCACAGTAAAATGAAAGACAGAATAATTAAACCTTGATCATTTCTAGGAGGGAAGCAAAATGACCATAAAATATTAACATCTAGTAGTTTACTATCATAAGCCTAACTCTTCCTTGAAGAGTTTCCTGTTTTATGCCTTCTAGTGATAGCACTGAAATTAAAAAGCATATCAGTTTTACAAACTTATTTTATACCACTTCCTAGCTGTAGTAACTGCCTTTGTCTTCACTGTAGTGCTAAGAGTTTACTAAAAACCAACCTACAGTACAAACACTTTAAAATTGGTGATCCTAAGTAGTTAGCTGATAGGGAAATCTCGATTCCCTGGCATTTGGTAGTGGGGAAGGAGAAGCAGATACAGATCTAGTTGGTGAATTCATGTCTGAGGCTCCAGGTGGTGGGCACATGAACTTCAATATAGTAGGAATTGGCCTTGAATGAGAGAAAAACAAAAATTCCATGTAGAAATGGGGAAATACCAGCATTACAGGTAGAATCTTTTTAGATTGGGGCTTATGTACTACTTTTCAACCTGAAGTCTTTGGGAATAGGCAGTCTCCTATTTCTGCAAATTCCACATGAAAAGCCAAGCCAGTATTCTTTGATGTATAGATTTAGTCTACCAGATTGAAGGACACTTGCTTTTTTTAACTAACTGAACTAGCTGGCCCCTGCATGCTGAGTTTCTGTGGCAGTACCATCTCAGTGACCTCTCTTCTCTATTGTGGAATGTAGGTGATAAGAATGGAGGTGAGCCTGATGATGCTGAACTGGTAAAGCTCAGTAAGAGGCTGGTGGAGAACGCAGTGCTCAAGGCCGTCCAGCAGTATCTGGAAGAAACACAGAACAAAAACAAGCCAGGGGATGGGAGCTCTGTGAAAACTGAAGAGGCTGATAGGAATGACACTGACAATGACAACGACAGGAAATGAGACCCAAATGCAGGCAGGCCCTGCTGCCCCGCGAGAAGCATCTCTGCTCCCCTCTGCTGAGCCAATGGACCGATTTGCAATGTGCTGTAGAAGTGTCTCTTCTCCAGCCTATGTAGGTTGCCTAATGCTCTCATGGTCAATGTGTTTGCACTTCTGAAACACAACAGAAGAAAAATGGAGTGCTGGGATTAGCAGAGGAAATTAATTTATGAAAGAAGAATGGCCCAATTTTCACTCACCCTCACCCATAGCCAAGGGAGAGGGGACTTTGGGTTATGCCTCATGGACTCAAAGGCTGTGGAAGGGGCCTTGCCATAATTGGAATACTGCCGTTCATATTGCTTAGCAGGGCATTTGACTACTTGATCTGAGGCCAACACGCACACACAGCTGACAAGTGCTAAGTTTAAAATAATTACTGTTGAAATTATCCATATAGTTAGTCCATAATGTTTTATGTTGGTCCTACGTATGCTGTAGCTATGCAGTGATCTTTATTTACAGTAAATTTGTTTCAGGTAAATAATATATTTTTTGGCAAAATGCAACCTTTTCTATAAAACGTGGGCAACATTTTAAAGGTTTCTTTTTAACCCTCTTTTGATAAGCAAGTGTACCACATTTAATGTTTTTCATTGGCATTTGTATGTAAAATGTTTTATAAATTTTTTTTCTGTAGGCAAGAGACCTATTGGAATCCGGGACTTAATTAAGGAAGCTTTGCATCAAGAAAGAATGGTTCAGAAGTCCAAAGTGAAACAGATAAAAGAACTTTTATTAAAGCCTGATATTCAGGCCAAAATTAGAAGGGAGCTTTTTGAAGGAAGAGCCATTAACAACAGCAGTCAAGAAAATGATGTTGATTTCAGTGCAACTTTGACATAAGCTCTACATTAATATCATGGTACCATAGTTTATGAAACCTTTTCAGCTGATTAAAACGCTCTTTTCAGCTGATTAAATAGCTCTTTGGTAAGTACCAAAGAAGTGCTTTGATAGTGTCTTTACTATAGCACACCAATATTTGGTAAGGATTTGACAACTTCTTGCCAAAGAAAACCCTGCCCTGTTACTTTTTATTTTTCAAGCTAAACGTGTGTGGGAATGTTTGTTTCTGTAATATCAAGAGTTATTTTATAAAATGGACTTCTTACTTAGCTGTTGTAAAATGTTCCTGGGGTCCTTACAGATAAAATATACAGACTGTGAAAAATCAGTTACAGATAAAAAAAATTGAATATTTTAAGAGTCACTTGCTTCCTGTTGACATGATTTTCGTTGTAGTAGTAAATCAAAAAGAAGTATTGTCCACACATGACTATATCTGGTGTTACTTTTAATGGGAATTTGAATGTTTATTGAATACTAGTACTTGAATGAACATTTATCAATGTAATTATTGCAATCACTGGTTAAGAATGTTTTATAATAGCCATATGTATTATTTTTCAATGATCAAAATGTAGTTTTCCTTTTCATTTCTTAATGAATAAATGTTTGGAATTTTTATTTTCTACTTTTCTGAAGATAAGCCCAGGTCTTACTGTATCCCTTATAATCTGAATTTGTTTGCACTGGATTATTTTTAAAGAAAATTCTTGGAAGTTTTCCCCTTGTATGGTAATCATTGTTAACAGCATTTCCTATGGCCATTGTTAAATTGCTGCTACTAAGAGATCATGATGGAGGGGAAAATTATAAGAGATCAAATATGTAATCATTTCAAATATAAAATCCAGTTTACTCCTGGAATTTAGCTATTTTTTCACTGGGTAAATTATACTACATTTATTTATAAATGTGTTTTTGCATTTTCATGCTTCTTAATAAACGTATTGTTTTCCCTTGTTGCTTTTCCTCATTTTCTGTCACTCTTGGAAGTCGTTGGCTCTGTGTCAGTATAATGAAGTCATAAATGGGAACTCTGAGAATTCAGTGTGTCTTTACCTTGAGGTTCTTATCCTTTATGCTAAGATAGCACAGTTGTCAGAGCATGTTCACTTTAAACTATTAATCACTTCAAATCAGTCAGCTTCACAGAGAGGTAACAACGCAAGGTTAAATGCAAAGAAAATATAAATAGCACCTCATCAACTGCTTATAATGTGTCACTAAAGTGACATGTGTAGCAAAGATGAAAGGAGCAGGGCCTTCCAGAGGCAAAGGCCTGGGAGCTGCTTACCAGGAGAGGGCTTTGAGTGAGAGAGGGGTTTACTGTTTGTAAGCAGGGATCTGTGGGGGCTTGCTTTGTTTTTCAAATGAGGAAACATATTCGAGGTTGAGTGCATTATCCAAACCACACTGCTATGAGGGAACTGGGCCTGAAATACAACCGGGGGCTCCATCTCAGCATTCCAGGGCTATTTTCTTTTCCTTTTAAATCCTCGCCTGAGGAGATGTTTATTCATGGGAGGGGGGCAGGGAGATAGAGAGAAAGAGTAACATTGGTGAAAGAGAAACATTGATCAGTTGTCTCTCATACGTGTCCTGGCTGGGGATCAAACCTGCAACATAGGTATGTACCCCGACCAGGATCAAACCTGCAACCTTTTGGTGCACGGGAGGACGCTCCCACCAACTGAGCCACCCGGCCAGGGCTCCAGACCTGTTTTCACTCTCCCAGAATCTAAGTTAACAATGTCTCAGAGAAAGCCCTTCTCAGCATATGTCTATAAATATCTTGTCTGCAAGGAGCTATTGCAATCTTTTCAAACAATTTGGAAGGCTAAGTTAGTATTTTTTTTTTCAATCTAGGGTTACATTGTCACATGGTTATTTTAGTTAAGAATCATAGCTTTCATTTGTTAAATACCTGCCTGTGTGCCAGGTGAATTAGGCATATTACTACATTTCAACCCTTTAAGTGACCTTGTTAGGAAGTTACTGTGCTATTTTACAGATAGGAAACTAAGAAACTGGGACTGTAAATGGTTAAATGGCTATAAAGCTAAATTGCTATTTATAAAGCTAATAAAAAGTAGGTCTAAATTTAAACTTGGATCTGTTCTACTTCAAAGTCATACTATTTCCACAATGCACTTCCTCCATCTACCAGGTACAATATATTTCACAACTTTAGGACGTGTAACAAAAGGAGAGTCACTTTCTTTTGATTATGCCAGCTTCCTTGTAGCCCTGAAGTGTTGTGAACATATCTGAGAGACATCAGTTGCTATGATAGAACTGGAAAAAAAGAACCCAGATATCTAATTTAGGAACTAAAGATTCTAACCCTTATCAATAAATTTTAATTTAAACAGGCTTACAAAGACAATAGAAAGTATGCAATAAAACAAATTTTGTTGATGTTTCTATTTTTAAAAAAAACTAGTAAGACATTAACTTCCAAAAACCTAAGTTTGGGATCTGAAATAGTCAAAATGACATTCTCCCCATTAATCAGAGTCATAGAAGAAATACTTGTTGGATCACATAGTCAGAATATGTTGTCCCAAACTGGCACCGTACTCTATGAAGCCTTGTCTGCTGACACAGAGGCTGCGTGCTTAGGGAAAGAGCACTGGTTTGGTCCAGGGGGAAGACTGTGGCTTCTAGACCTGGGCCTACCGCTGACAAGTCAGTGATCTTGAGCAAACCAATTTACTTTTTTTGAGCTTCTATCAATAGTTCCCAATCTATTGTTTGAAACAGTTTGGCCAGGTGATTTCCAAGGATCCTAGACTCTTTGCATCTGTGCCAGGATCCTGCTTGTGCAGACGCCACTGTCTCAGCTAGTTACTCAGCTGAGAGGCCTTCTTGCTTGAGCCCCTCTAAGTGCATCTGTTTTCAATGACAGGGGAGGTGCGATTCCTAGAAGACACTGCATTGTGTCACTCGTCTGGTCGTCATCTTCATGGAGGAAAACCCCAGTGGCACATACTCACATTTATAACCAAATTCCAATATTTGTAGTCACTGGAAAAATAATAGATCCTATATGAATATTTTAAGGAATATCAAAAAGTATTTTCAACAGCAGAACAAAGTTTGGTCCACTTTGAACTTATTCCTACTTCACTGAATCTTTGGTTATTATTGTATTAATCTACTTCTCACTCTAAACTTACTATAGGCCTTTGAGATGTACTAGATTTATATCTAGAGCATACTTAAGATTCCAACTATTCACTCCAAACCCCAAATGTACCAGTCATCCCAGCAGCCAGATGTTCTCATAAGGAGGTAATAAAGCAGTCTGACTTCATATTCTAGACATTATTTCAGGCATAAGACCAATAAGATATGTTTGCACCTCTGTACTTGATCACAGATGCACAAATCAACTACCACATTATTTAACAAATTGATAATTCATTCTATTTTATAATGAAAGACAACAAATCTATAGTATCTCCAAACATAAATTGATGAATGGGTAATCTATCATCATCCATTGTTTTCTCTATTTTCAAATCTCATCTCCGATAGTTTTATCTTGAACAAATTGTAGATGCATTCCTGAGTTCCGATCTTTTTCAGGTAGAGAAAATTCATATTAAAAAAGAAATAAACCCAGTCTACTTAAAGGAAATAGTTTCTAAGTCCCTATGTGAACTGGATAGCAGTGCACATACTAACAAGGCAGGACCTTGTATTATTATTTCATTGACAGTAAAAATGGACATTAGAGCAACCCGCTCTGAGTCAGCTAATTTAAAATCCTGACACCGCCAAGAGCACTTTTCTCTTGGATCACTGTTTTGGGGATAAGAAGTTAATTTGAGATCTGAAGGAAGGTGCTAATATCTCTAGTGTAATATGCTCAAAACTACTCATTTGCATCATTAAATGTAACTGATAAATTTAGACAATTTAGGATAATTCAAGATGTAAACTGCAATATTAATTCCTCTTCATACACCACCATTAGTCACCTGCGGGAAAGTTATGAAGTTCTGTTACACCATCAAAGACAGGAACAATAAAACTGAGAAATCAATTCATTGTGTTCAGTAAACTAATGTTTCTTTCCCTTTAGTCGTTCAAATTATATTTACAAACCCAGTATCTTATGACACTGTCCTGTATATTTGTGCTATATTTTTGGACCCATCTGCTTGTAGTTCTGTCAGCTTAAGCAGCTGTTGTGGATCTCTTGTTCTAAGTAACCAAAGAGCAAATCGGTGCAACACTTGAGATTACTCCCCACACTTCCTGCTAAAAAATACATGGGTACAATGTCCCCATGATTATATCTCTGAACCAAAGTGCATTGTAGTTTCTTTGCTTATTTTTTTAAACCACATGAATGTTGTTTTACCCATAATTTAAAAAAAAATTGTTTTTGTAAATGCTGTGTGGGGTATATAAAGGTGTAGGAGCTAAGAGGACAAAGAAATCCGTTTTATAGCTGGATAGGCAGGCAACACTGAATACAACGTTGGATACAACGCTGAAGAAAGAAACAGAAGTGATATGCATGCCCCATCCAAAAAGTATCTGATATGGTAATGGAGGTAGAGAAAATAGAATGATATGCAAAGTAGGGACAGACTGAGTATATTTTTTAAAGATTTTGGAAGACTAATTTGGAAGCTATTTTTATCAGGTCCACACTTGGAAAGTGTCTTTATGGAGGGGAATGTGATGAGGGCTTTTAATGATTTTATGGACACTTGTCACACTTAATGACTGCCCAGCATCTTTTGAACACACTTCATATGTTTGGGGAACTTCCTACCTCGTGATCCCTGCTTCCCCAGGGTAGAGGTCCCGAGGTATAGGCCAGAAACACCTTCTCAACCGTCTTTGTTGCTGGGGTTCAGTGACCTTGCATGCAATCAATCCATTCTGGGGAAGGTGCGCTCCGGGGATCCCACAC